TCCCAGCTCCTTGCGTGGCCCGGATGGTGGACTGGGAGGTGCATGGTCGAATGGTCAAATCTAACGTCGTCTTATGTCAAGTCGCCGTGTGTTCAGAGTAACTACAGGAGAACAGTTGGGCGCGCAACTATCTAAAACTGCAGCAAGTGGACATTGAAGGGCCCAACAAAGAAGCCCCCAAAGCGCCGAAGAGGGCCAGGAAAGCGGCGCGGAGACAATTGTTGCCGCCGTGGTCTAGGCGGCCTGCGACGCAGCTGGGGCCCCGAACGCGAGAGCCCCCCCCCCAAAAAAAAAACAGCGGGGGCGTCTCAAGCGGCGCGCGCAACGGCGCGACGGGCGGGCCAGGCATCAGGAACTATGGCCGATTGGTCACTATGGGAAACCAACGACAGCGATCCATGTTAAGCATGCCTACCCAAGGGGCTGATGTTTTAAAATCGTGCTCGGATCGAAGCAGGAAGCTGAATTGCTTCAGGTCGAAGCAAAGATGGGCGATCCTGCATGATGCACTCCGTGGCTCAGCTGTTCCAGTTGGCACCGCGGCCACGGTTGGCGAATCTCCATTTCGCCCCCAATATTGCCCATGTGTTTCTCCGCTCTTGCCCGCCGCTGCGGCCTCCGGCCCTGCGCCGTTTCGGCCGGCCCCGGCGTTCCGAGGTCGCTGGCGGCCCCGCCCGTCGGGGGCCTCGGCCATTCGACGCTGCGGCATCGCGGCCCGGGCATGGGGTTGTCCTGACGTCTGCGCGGGCTCTCCTGGACCGACTGCCCCCCCTTGACCTGGGATGACCTCGCGCGGATTTCTGCGGGCAGCGGGCTACCCTCACTGATCGGCGCGAGTCCCTGCTCACCTCTGCCATTCCAGCCGGGGGCTCGGCCCCCCCGGCAACTCCCCGGGGCGGCTCATCTGCGACCTCCATCGACGCACCTCCCCGGATAACCCCTGGCGCCTGGCGCCCCTTGGATTCCCGCCTCCTTTTCCTTTGGTGGTTCCTCTGGCGGCGCAGACCATGGCAATGTCCGCCTTCCCTCCGCGCCTGTAATGCATGTGCCCAGCGCCCGTGCCATTTCCACGGCAAGCTTCGTCTGCGTCGCCGTTCTCTGCAGAATATTGCGCGCTCCAGACCGACCGGCTACCAGCCTCCTTGCAATTGCCTGCGTCGTCTTCATTGATTCCCCAATTGCCACGGTCTTCGTCGTCTTCCTGGCCAATGCCCAATGCATCGGCGTTCATTCGCGCCGGCGTCTACCCTTGCCTTCCGCGCCTGACTCCTCGCAAGCCTTGCGATTGATATCGACGTCCAAGGAATCGGGGGTTTTGAAGCACCTCTGTTGCCAGTCAGCATACGAACCACTTGCATGGCCATGATGGTTCTCAAGCCAATGACGGTCGCAATGACTAGCCAGACCCATACATGTCCAGCGACTGCACTAACGCACTCCACTCTTCCAGCCGCACGGGGTTCATGGCCATATTCATCTCGCGCGAAAAAGCAGCCGGGGCGACCGCAGAGCACCACATGAAAACAATTCGGTCGGCCACCAAGCCATCTCACGCATGTGGGCCCTCGAGCTTTCCCCGAAGTTCCGTTGCTTCTAAGGTATCGTATAACGCATACCAGAGGTCCTCGTCCAACCTGGCATAATCGTTTTCTTCGACGCATTCGTGTACTGGCCCAGGGTGAACCCTCCGCCCATGATCTTTATCCGAACGTCCTCTTGATCACCAGGTAGGGCCCCAGCCATGGATTCGAATGCGTTGTTCATGTTTTCGGGGGCTTTCAATTCATCGTAAATCACTTTGACGAGCGCATTCAACAGCTTGTCTGAGTTGGGTTATGTCACCATCGCAACTATTGCAACCAACAGGGCATTCACGCAACAGCTCTTCGCTCCAGTATTCGAACCTGGCCCTGTCAATGCTGTACAGCCTTGTATTCGGCCACGGGCTTGTGTCCACCTCTGCCATCCCTTGTATCCTCCTCCGCCATCCCTGGCATGTCCTGCAGAATGTATTGCATCAGCCATTTGGGCAAGATGTTATGGACTGATCGATTGATGGAACAAATCCCTGAAATCGGTAAAACATCCTCGCCATTCAAGATGCGGCTGATAGCTGCAATCCGGGGAGGATTGATTCATGTTGTATCATATACGCTACATTGTGGGTGCTTCATCGTTGCCAACAGTCCCGGTCCCCTGTGCGGCACTTCGCTTGACGAATAGTCGCATGTCTTCGCGATTTGGACGTGGGCGCCATGCTGACGTACCTGAGGCTCCCGATATCGTAATCTGAATTGCTTCGTCTTGCGAAGCGGCTCGCGCCTAGGATGTATCAGGCTTCCCTTACTTCAGGTAACGACACATCCAAATCATTGGTGCAGGACTTCGCTGGGGCAGCTGCGGCCGCCGCCGCTATCTCTGCTCTGGAACCCGTGAAAATCTGGGAGAGAGCGTGATCCACCGCCGCTTTACTGTGGAAAATTATCCCCCTCCCCCCCTTTTTCCTCTGGAACTCGAGACCCCCCCCCCCCTCCAGAAATCCCTCCCCCCCTGCTGGACCCCCCCCCATCCCTTCCCCCTTCCCCCTCGCACCCCCCCCCCCCATCCCCTATGTCCCCCTCCCCCCCCCCCCTTCGGAACATTGGGGGGGTCACTACCAGTTCGAGCCCCCCCCCGGAAAACCGAGGCGGTCACTACCACTTCGAAACCCCCAACCAGAAAACCAGAGGGGGGTCACTACAGGTTCGAACCCCTCCCCTCCTCCAGAAAACCGGGGGGGTCACTACTGGTTCGACCCCCCCTCCCCTCCAGAAAACAAAGGGCGGGGCCACTGCCGGTTCGAACCCCCCCCCCCCTCCAGAAGACCGGGGGGGAGCCCCTCCCCCATCCAGAGAACCAGAGGGGGTCACTACCGGCCGGTTCAACCCCCCCCTTCCCGGGGCCCTCCCCTCCAGAAAACCGGGGGGGGGGGGCACTACTGGTTCGACCCCCCCCCCTCCGAAAAACCGAAGGGGGGGTCACTACCGGTTCGATACCCCCCTCCCCCCCCTCGGGAAAACCGGGGGGGGGGGGAGCAATTCCGGTTCGAACCCCCCCCCCTTCAAAAAACTGGGAGATGGTCACTACCGGTTCGAACTCCTCCCCCCCCACCCCACGCTCACCGCCAGCAAACGACTCCCGGGTCCCTACCACCGTCCGCACCACATCCATCCCCCACTGCTGTCCCCAGCACCGCTGTCCTCACCACCGCTGTCCCCGCTGTTCCCACCACCGTCCCCCAGTCACCACCAGTGCCCCCACCACTGTCGCACTGTCCACACTGTCCCCACCACTGTTCCCACCACGGTTCCACTCTCCCCACTTTCTCCACGGCCCCAACCACTGTCCCACTGTCCCCACTGTCCCACTGTCCCCGCCGCTGTCCCACTGTGCTGTCCCACCGTTCCCACCACTGCCCCAACTGACCCCACCACTGTCCCCATTGTATCTCCGTCCCATTGTCCCACCGCCGTCCTCGCCACCGCCCTCACGACTGTCCCCACCACCACTGTACTCTCCACTGTCCCACTGTTTCCACCACATTCCCACTGTCCCCACACCACTGTCCCCACCACCACCGTCCCCACCACTGTCCCACTGTCCCCACTGTTCCCACCATTGTCCTCGCTGTCCCCACCAGTGCCCCCACCAGTGTCTCACTGTCCACTCTCTCCCCACCATTGCCCCACTACGGTCCCACTCTGCCCACTTTCCCCACGGTCCCCACCAGTGTCCCACTGCCCACACCGTACCCACCACTGTCCCACTGTCCCCGCCGCTGTCCCACTGTGCTGTCCCACCGTCCCCACTGTCCCCATCACTGTCCCACTGTCCCCACTGTCCCCACCAGTGTCCCCACTGTACTACTGTCCCACCACTGTCCTCACCACCGCCTTCACCACTGTCCCCACAACTACCGTCCCCACCATTGTCCCATTGTCCCCACCACTGTCCCGCTGTCACCTCACCCCTGTCCCCACCACCACCGTCCCCACCACTGTCCGCACACTGTCCCACTGTCCCCGCACCACTGTCCCCACCACCACCGTTCCCACCACTGTCCCAGCATCCCCACCATTGTCCAACTGTCCCGAGGAGCGGGAATGGTTTGCCGGCGGCGAGGTGGTGGGGGGTTCGAACCGGTAATGACCCCCCCCCAGTTTTCGAGGGGGGAGGGGGGGGGGCTCGAACCGGTAGTCCCACCCCCTCTTTTCATGATGGACTGGGGGGGCGGGAAAGGGGTTCGAACCGGTAGTAACCCCCCTCGGTTTTCGAGGGGGGGGACGGGTTGGGAATCGCCCCCCCCCCCCCCCCAGTTTTCCGCCAGCAGCGGTAGAACACGCTCTTTCAAATCTGGCACGGCCTTTTTTACGGGATGGCGAATGATAGTTGAACCAGATATGAATATTATTCGACAGGCATGTTAGAACAGTCTGGATCGTATTGGACAAACTGAACTACATCCCTCCTGGTGGCACTGATCAACCTGTCGTCGGGTTACAATATAATCACTTCCTCCTCCTCTTCCTCCTCCTCCTTTTCCTCCTCCTCCCCCTCCTCCTCCTCTTTCCTGCTGTCTTGTGATCTCTCATGCTCTCTCGCCTTCAATCGTGCTCTTTCCTCCCCCTGCGCGAGGGAACGCGAACCCGAAGGATAGGAATTGCGAAGAACACGGCGGAAAGCAGCATCTGCCGCCGCCTGTCGCCCGTCGTGAACCGAGCGAGAGAGAGAGAGAGAGAGAGAGAGAAAGGACAGGCAGGAGGAGAGATGGCGAGAGAAAGAGAGAGAGAGGGAGAGAATGAAATAGCATGGAACCTCGTCGTCCTCGTCGTTCTCGCCGCCGTTGAAGCCGGCGGCGGCGGCATTGGCGGCGGGCCCTCGTCGTCGCCACCGTCCTCGTCGTCCTCGTCGTCGTGGTCCTCGAAGTCCTCGTCGCCGTCGCCGCCGCCGTCGGCGGCGACCGGTCCTCGATCGGCCCATGGAGCCCGTACTTGCAGTTGCTCAGGTAGGCCTGACGGACGGGCACGCGGGGCCGCGCATGGGGGCACGCGCCGACGGGCCCCAGCTCGGCGCCGCCCCCGCTGGAAGAGCACATGCGCTGCGCGCAAGATCACGCAAGGTTCACAGGTCAACCCTAAAAACCAGCTCGATGGGCCAACCCGCCAAAAAACTGTGCCTATGCCGATGTGCTCTTCTTCGAACAACGGCCAACGGCCACGCTGGCCGCATGCGGCTGGCCCGACATCGTGACGGCGCGGCGCGGATCGGTGGGAGGCGGAACCAGCCCCCCCTCCAGCCCCCCTTTGCCCCGCTACATTGCTTGTCCTCTGCTTCTCGAAAATCAAGTCCCTAGTTGATTATATAATCTCCCTCGACAAGCAGCTATGGCCAGTCGCCAATCAACGGATGCTCTAAGACTTCTCTAACCAGGCAACTCTTTTGGGGTTCGTTGCCTGGATTGGCTGATCGGGACGTGCAATGCATAGGCGTGTTCCCATTCGTCACAGTCAGAGGTGACGAGGCGCGAAAACTCTTCCGCCCGGGTACATACCCTAACTTTCGCGGGGGGTGATGTGTGCGTGACCCGCCCAGCCTCTTTCGGAAATGCGAACAAAACGAAACAATTCCTATATGATTCCTGGTCGCATCGACCCAAGGGACCACGCGCAAAATCGAAATCTGGACCCCCCACTGGGTCCATCATGGCCGGTGCCCTGGATCGGTTCTCGATAGCCCCTGGGCCCGAAACTGGAAGCCATGGACCAAGAACAGCGAACTATTCGCCCGAACCTCGAACTCGGAGCTCGAACCTTGAGCCCGCCAGCGAACAAGACAACATCCGATCGCGAGGACCTGGAAACACCAAAACGCGCCGTCGCCGATCGACGGCCTCACCGAGCCACGTGCGGGTCCCACAAGCCCGCCAGAGCGCACGAGATGGAAGCACCTAGGAAACATGATCAAGATCTCCTTACTGATGCACCCTTGCACCGTCCTTCTCCTTCTGTTTCCTTCTCCTCTTCCTCCTCCTCCTGTATCTTTTGTTTAGAGCCCCTCCCAATCGACATTTCGGCTCGAACGGCCTGCCTCCAGACCACATCCTGGGCCCCCATCGAAGGGCCCAGCAGCGAAAAGCTCCCTGGCGTTCTTACACTCCCATTCCTGAGCCAAGGGCCTGCGCACCTTCCCGTACGCACGGTAGATCGCACAGAAATTGCAGATAGGGCGGAACCCCGAGGTGGGCTTGGGGATAAGCGTGAGGAGCGTGATCGCGACCTGCCTCGGGATCAACGCCGTGAGCTCCATCACAGCAAAAAGCCCCGTGAGAATTCGAAGCAATCCGTCACTCAGGAAGGCGAAGTGCTTCATGTGGAAGCCATCCACACTGACACTAGTTTTTTCTTTGAACCTCCTCGAAAACTCCCGAACGGCTTCCACAAGGACCTCGGGAAGTTCCGGAGCGAGCTCACCGACCTCGAACCACGGACTCACCCCCGTATCCCCCCAAGGGTCCGAAAAACGCTTGGACTCCGCTTTCACAAGAGACAGAGGGTCCGCCACCACCACCCCATCCAGGGAGAGGGTAGTGGTGGACCCTACGGGCTCCGCGTTGAGCTTTTCGGGTCCGAGGTCCATGGTGTTAGTGACTTCGAGCGCTTGCGCCTGCGTCGACAGGCGGCCTCCGTTCTGCAGCCCTCTGCTCGAGGACGCTCGCTGATGGCGCTCCTTCTTGCACACGGCGAGCCATGTTGGCTGGCGTCAGTGGCGCCATGGATTAGGTGGTCCAAGGAGATTTGGATTTCCCATCATCGCATTTATTCTCACTCCCTGGCTCTTCCCGAGCTTCGTGAGGCGTGGGCTGCGGGCTTCTCGGGAGAGTCGCCTCTGTGGCGATCGGTCTCGGGACCGATCACGGCCCTTCGGAAATCTTGCGAGCGGATCTCCTGGACCATGCCCTCGTTCGCTGCTTTTCGCACCGACAAAGGAGAGGAGCTCAAGTTGACTGAGTTTTCGCCCAAATTGGTCCGCTCGATGCTTCGCATGGCGGTTGTGAGGGGTCTCGAGTGGGACATGGGTGCCCGGATTAACATGGTAGGCCGTGCTTGCACTGATGGGGTGCTCAGCTACCTTCAGAGCTCCAAGTATAGTCCGTTCGAAAAGGGATGTCTGAGGGCCCTTTTCTGCAATGCGGTGTATACTCGCACGCGTGCGGCCGATCTAGGCTACAAGCTGCCGTGCGTGCTGTGCCAGCTGTGCGGCGAAGCCCCGGACACACTTTGGCATCGGCTCTGGGATTGTCAATGCCCTGATATTGTGGAGCTACGGAATTCCATCGTGCCACTTAAGATCCAGGAGTGGGCCAGCAACGTTGACGACAACTTAGCAGTGTTTGGCATCTTCCCTCATCCTGGCGATGTTTTTCCTGCCCCGCTTGATAGAGGTGGTATCCAGGTGGAATGGGCGCAGGATGAGATAGGGGATCTGAACGCCGTCTTCACTGGAGACCTGTTCGTGGGCGGATCCTGCTCCAGATGCATCGTGAAAGAACTCAACCGAGCGGGCCGGGCCTTCACTCTGCTCGACAGGGAGACTGGGCAGGAGCGTGTTCGGGTCCGTGGGCCTGTCTGGGGACCCTGCCCCCGGACCCCTCAGGCCGCCGATTTGTTTGCAATGTCTATTGCTATCCAGTGGAGCACGGGTCCGTGTGAAGTGTTCTCGGACTGCTAAACTGTGTGACCTTTTTCTCGGTGCCCTGGTCAGAACCGATGTCGGCTAAGTTTATGCTTTCAAGCGTCGCCCAGTTCACTCGTGAACACCTGCATAAGATCAAGGTGTCCAAGGTGAAAGCCCACCTTGCAGGCGAGGAGGCTGCGGATGAATGGGATCGATACCTGAGACAGGGCAACTCCTGGGCCGACACTTCCGCCAAAGCTGCGGCTACCTTGCATCCTGCCCCGTCCGACGAGCTTAGCGAGGGTCTTGAGAACATCCGTCGCCGTGGCCCGTGCTGTTGGGCGCCTGGGTGCCAAGTTGATGTCATTATGGCCGAAATTGTCCATGGACAAGAATGTAGAGTTACTCAAGGGACCTGCTCAAGAGCAGGCCCCAGCGCCGCCGCCGCACGAGTAGCACTGGGTCGGTAACTACTGGCAATGTGCGACCTGTCTTCGTGGGAAGCGAGGTAGTCCGAGCATCGAGTGCCGCCGGGAGGAGCTTGCTCCCTGTCGTTGCATGTCCAACCATCGGTGTTGCGCAAATTGGGACACCGGTGTGTTTAAATTGAATGTTCAGATGGGAGTTTTGTTCGTATTTGCCACAAGTGCGGTTATCACACCTCAGGGGGTCGCCTTGATCGCTTGGGGAGGAAATGCGAGCCCCATAGAGTGGTCTCGCATAGCAACCCGTGGGCCCGTCTGCAGAGAGGTCTTCATCCTTCGTACAAGAAGCCTGGAGTTACCGTAGATGTGAACACGTTTTGCAAAGTACAACCTCATCCTGCTTGTTGTCCAGTTCGCCTGCAGGTATGTATATTGTTCCTCACGCTCATTCGCCATCTGCTTGAGGCACATGTGGCCGAAGGAGGGGCGACCTCCTCCTTCTCCTCATCCTCACATTGCGCCAAAAGTCTTTGGGACTCCCCATAGGAAAAACAAAACAATTGTTTCTTCGATCCTTGCTCACTTCAAAACCCTCGTCGCCGTCGCTTCGCCGGGCTCGGTCTTCGTCGCGAGCGCGTTGCCGGCCCTCGTCGCCGACGCCCGCGGGCCCCCGACCGCCGTGCCGTGTTCGCCCTGGCCCAAGTGGGCGGCGGGCGCGGGCGCAGCGCGCGGACCCTGCACCAACGCTCCGGAAGTTGAATGCGCCGCGTATGCAGCGCAGCCACACGACTGGAAGGTCGCTGCAATGAGGAAGTCGTGCGCGAGACTCGCGGAGCTGGGCAGAAAGCGCGCCCTGGGGCGCAAGCTGACAAATGTTGCGCGCGCTCCTGATCACACGGGGCAACAAAAAGGGATCAGCTGAGAACATGTTTTCAGCTGGGAACCCTCACCGTGAGGCGTATTTTCGGGTCCGTCGGGCAGGGCCTGGCAACATGTGTTTGCACAAGCCCCGGGCAAATGGGCCTCTTCTGGGCTGGCCGGTAAAGTGTCCAGGTCGTTTCGGGGCATGCCCCATAAAATGTTTCTGAGGAGATCCCATGTGGTTTGTTCATGGTCGACTTCATACACCTCTTGGAAAGTCAGGACTTCACTTGGGAGGGGAAGCCCGATTTCGACCCCGAGGGCGGGGGGCCGTGTTCCCATCGTTTCGGGTCCCTGTGGACAAACGGGGCGGGGCGCCAGCCCTGCCCCAGCCTCCGCTGCCCCTCCACCCTCGCCCCCCGAGCCCAATATTACAGCAGGGAGTGCAATGGGCTTCAAGGCGCCCTTCTGGTCTGATGTCACGATGGTAAAACTCTCACATTGTGTGCACGTTCGGGGTGACGACGGCGCTCTGGGAGTTCGAACGACGTGCCGGGCGGATTTGCGAGGACAACCCCCAAGTGGATTTCGGAAAAAGGAGGCGCGTGAATGTCAAGCGTACTTCGAGTGGAAAAAGGTGTCGCGCTTAAAAGCAACAGTGCCGAACCAAAACGAACGGATAATCCACGAGAATTATACCAGATAAGCCGTGTACATATATATATATATATATATATACTAGAACCACGCGCGCGCTTCGCGCGCGCTTAGGTTCTGTCGAGTCACAGACCCAGGAATCGTTGTGAGAAGAAATTGGTGACGCGAAGCGTCGTGGGGGCGTCCTTGGACGTCTGGGGTCTCCTGGGGCCTCTTGAGGGGCCTCCTTGGGGCCTCCTGGCGGCCTCTTGGGGCGGAAGGCTCGAGCTTGCGGTTCGTGGTCCCCCTCTGGGCCCCCCTCTTGGGCCCGTCTTGGGGCCCTCTGTTGGGCCATCTTGGGGTCTGCGTCTTCGTCTTGGGCCGTCCTGTAACGTCGGGCCCATGTACGTTTTACGAAGGGAATGGGTGCGTCTAGGGGCCCTCTTGGGACGCATGTTGGAGGCTTCTTGGGGCCTCTTGGGGGCGTCCTTGGACGTCTGGGGTCTCCTGGGGCCTCTTGAGGGGCCTCCTGGGGGCCTCCTGGCGGCCTCTTGGGGCGGAAGGCTCGAGCTTGCGGTTCGTGGTCCCCCTCTGGGCCCCCTCTTGGGCCCGTCTTGGGGCCCTCTTGGGCCATCTTGGGCGCCTCTTGGGCCGTCTTGGGGCCCTCTTGGGCTGTCCTGGGGCCCTCTTGGAAGCTTCTTGGGCCGTCTTGGGGCGGTCTTGGGCGCCTCTTGGGCCGTCCTGTAACGTCGGAAAGCCCAAAAGGCGACTTTGTTGAAAATGTACGTTTTACGAAGGGAATGGGCCAATTCTTGCGTCTAGGGGCCCTCTTGGGACGCATGTTGGAGGCTTCTTGGAGCCTCTTGGGGGCGTCCTTGGACGTCTGGGGTCTCCTGGGGCCTCTTGAGGGGCCTCCTGGGGGCCTCCTGGCGGCCTCTTGGGGCGGAAGGCTCGAGCTTGCGGTTCGTGGTCCCCCTCTGGGCCCCCTCTTGGGCCCGTCTTGGGGCCCTCTTGGGCCATCTTGGGCGCCTCTTGGGCCGTCTTGGGGCCCTCTTGGGCTGTCCTGGGGCCCTCTTGGAAGCTTCTTGGGCCGTCTTGGGGCGGTCTTGGGCGCCTCTTGGGCCGTCCTGTAACGTCGGAAAGCCCAAAAGACAACTTTGTTGAAAATGTACGTTTTACGAAGGGAATGGGCCAATTTTTGCGTCTAGGGGCCCTCTTGGGACGCATGTTGGAGGCTTCTTGGGGCCTCTTGGGGGCGTCCTTGGACGTCTGGAGGCCATCTTCAGCATCTCGGAGCCCTCTTGGAGGCCTCTTGGAAGTTTCTTGGGCCGTCTTGGGCGCTTCTTGGGCCGTCTTGTCTGACTGGGGAGGCCCCCGGCAAGCCCCGACGAGCCTCCGGGCCCCCCGGGGTGCACATTTGCGGTCGAGGTCCCGGCCCCGGGCCCCCGGACCCGGTGCGCCGATATATGTATAAAATACATATACATACACATAGTAGAATCATCGCGCGCGCTCCACGCGCGCACAAATTCTAGCTCGGCTGTATGGTCGAACTCTCGGGGACCTCTATGTTGTGGTACTTCTTCTCTGGGGCTTCCAAGAACTACGAAGGCGGCACAAGTGGCTTCCAAGACTTCCTGCGGTCCACCCACGGCGGGCTCAGACAGGCCCCAGAGGCACTTCGGGGGCCCTTCTCTTCGCCGCGGCTGGACGTAGCTGGGGGGAGAGGGAGGAAAAGGGGAGGCGAAGGGGTTCCCTGGGGAGGAGGAGGAGGAGGAGGAGGAGGAGGAGGAGAAGGCCACAGAGTCTGCCGCAGAGGAGGAAAAGGAGGAGGAGGAAGAGGAGGAGGAACAGGGAGAGGAAGAGTGGGAAGCCTCTCGGGGGCCTCTTGCAAGCAGTTTTGGAGGCCCCGTGGGGGCCGTTTGGGGGCTTCTCGGGATCTCTGATTGGACCTCTTGGGGGCCTCGTGGGGCATCTGGGGGACCTCTTGGGCTCTCTCGGGGGCCTCTCGGAGACTCCTGGGGGCCTGTTCGGGCGGAAGGCTCGAATTGTCGGTTCGTGTTCCCCCTTTGGGGGCCGTCTTGGGGCCCTCTTGAACCATTATGGGGTCCTCTTGTACTGTCTAAGGGGCCCTCTTCGGGGCCTCTTGGGCCGTCTTTGGGCGGTCTCGGGGGCCGTTGGGGCCATCTTGGAGCGTCGGAAGACCATACTACCAGGAGAACGCGAAACACGTTGATGAACAAGAAACATCACTGATGTTTGCCTCATGAGGCCTCTTGGGGGTCCTCCTGAAGCGCTCTTCGGGCTGCTTTGAGGCTTCTTGGGCCGTCTGTGGGCCGTCTTGGGCGTCTTGGAGCACTCTTGGGCTGTCTTGGAGGCCTTCTGGTTCCGGGGCCCTCTTGTCCCGTCTTGGGGCACTCTTGGCCTCTCCGACCGCCTCTGGGAAGCGAATCGGGAGGGTAGCAAAAAGCGTTTCCGGATGGTTGCGGAGTGGCCGCTCCCAGGCCGGGGGGAACTATATATGCACGTTGAACGTCACAGGAAGATTCGTATGAAAACCCGAAAGGCTTCGCTGAGAAACGCATGGTACAAAACCTGCGCCGCGAAATTGCTGCTTACACCCCGTGCGGCCGTGTCCTGAGTGAATGTTGCCGCCGGAGATGCATGGCTGCTTCTTGACTGAGGCTTGCGGTCAAATGGCCCACTAGCACAACGTTCAACTGACTGGCCAGCGGGCCGCAGGCCAGCGGACTGCAGGCCCAGCGCGGCCGCCCGCAGCCAGCGGGCTGCTACGGCAGATCACCCGCCGCGGCCTCGGGGGTGGGCGCGAGGGGGGCGCCGCGCTGCCGAGAGGCAGCGCCCCTTCGGCCTGTGAGACTGCCTGGCCCTGACGGGCCGCCTCCTCCGCGAAGGCCACGGGACCTCGGCGCAGAGGCCACGAGCCCGTTCGCCGAAAGCCCAGGGCCCCATGGAGATACCAGAGACGAGGGCCACTCCGAGGTGGAGAGGCCGAACTTCCGAACGCGAAGAGCCCAAGGGTACCCTGTTCAAGGCCGGGACTTGCTCCTCACCCTCGAGACAGCTGCATCAGGAGGAGGCAGCAGCCCGCTCGCCGCCCACTGGCGCCTGAGGCGCCAGTGCGCATCCAGCGAAACTGGCCGGGCCATCGTCCTGTAGGCCGGCGCGGCCACCCTGGGCTGCCCACGGCTCCCAGCGTCGCGGTGAAGCCAGGGCCCGCGCGCTGGCCGCCGCCCAGCGTCGCCCCATGCAGGGGCCCGAACGGCCCCAGGATGGTCGCATGAGTTCCCAGGGCACTCCCCGAGAAGGCGCAGCCTAGGAAGGCGGCGACAGAGGCGCAGTACTCCAAGGAGGTCGGGCACGCATTGCCTCTTCCCCCTATTTGCTCCGCTCCATGCTTCTCTGCTCTCTCTCTCTCTCTCTCACCCTTCGTCTCCCATACGGAGCTGACCTGGCCGGCGTGGTTCGCCAAAACGGACTTCAGCCTTTGAGCGCCGGGATACGGTGGAAAAGAGAGATGCACACATCTGGAACTTTGAGCGCCCGGGTGAGATGGAAGCGAGACATGTGCATGTCTAGAAGATGGCAGAGAGCACTGGGTGAGTCCAACGCTGGTATCCAGATGACAATCACGAAAGCGGAAGTAGGGGTTGGGAAGAAACTGCCGAACACACTGTCGCACCTGCCGCAAGACACACACAAAACACACACACACACACACGCGCATTCGATACGGCTCTAGCCTCTAGTCGTAAAAACTGGTCCTCTAATGCTGCAGCTGCTGCTACTGCTGCTGCTGTTGCTGTCGCACTTCATCTTCCTTCTGCTGTGCTCGCTTCTCCCTTGTCGAAACACGCCTTGCCAAGCAGCAACGACTTGCACGTTCAGGAACAGAATCTCATCCGTCGCCTCATCCTCTACTGCTCCTGCAACTTCTGATTCCTCCTGTGATCTCTCTTCCATGATTGTAGCGCCGCTGTTCAAACTGCGATGGATGGCCTGTTCGGGAAAAATACCGCATCGGCGTCCACCTTGACTGTCCATTCGTACAAGGCGTAGTCACCAACCTGTGGTCGCGGTGGGAAGCCCGAGTGGGAGGAACACGACGTCGTCGCCAACGCCAACGTCAACGTCAGCGTCGAGCTCGACGCCAGCTCCGAGCTCGACGTCGGTATCGAGCTCAACGTTTACGTTAGCATCGAGCGGATTCTCCTGTCCAGGGGGCGGAATTTTCCCATATGCGGACGAAGCCATGCCGCACGCGACTGAAGGGCGCTGTGACGTCAGTAACGCTACGGGTGCCCTGTGCCCCATACAGACCAGTGGCGAGTACGGCCTGAGCAGAAAGAAGCGCACGCACGACTTCATGTTGTGCGTCGTTTTGGTGGCTCCTTCTTTCTTCCCGCATTATCCTCGGGAACATGGGGTCGTGAGGCGTAGGAACCACCTGTGGGGAAGTGTGAGGACCGACCCCCGCCCGCTTGCTGGGGGCAACACGGCGCGTACATTAGCCATTTGGCTGTCCGATTCCTCCAGGTTCCCCCTCCCCCGGGGTCCAAAATCCCATCACATATCCCCTTCCACACTCCCCCCCATACCCCCCTGCCAGAGTGGGGGCACGAGCTCCTCAACGCACTTGACAGGCGAACCTCCAAATTCACGGTCCCACGCTGCTGAACTGCTCAAAGTGCCGAAGTGTTCAGGCACGCCCAAGAGGCCTCAACTAAGAACTCAGGATCCACAAGGACCCCAAACAAAAAAGATGCCCAAGAGGGAAATCCAAGCATACCATGACAAAGGTTCGGGGAATTCTTCTATCTCGCCTTCTCGCGCCTCTGAGGTTCATGAGCCTTCCGAGACGCTACCAGACCGCCCCGAGCGTTCCTATGATGGCGCCAATAATGCCATTGAGGCTCCTGGCGGGCCTCCACGACAGCCCCCTGCAACGGCTCTAAGACCCCCTATGCAGCGCGCATTAGTCCCTCCTAAACAACCCCAAGACCTCCGAAGGAACGCAAGATGGCCCCGAAGAGGCCCCAAGAAGCCCCAAGCGAGCTACAGAAGAACCTCAGAACGACCTCACGCGTGTCTGTTCCTAGGTGTTTGTTCCTATGTTCCTGCGCTGTCCTGCTCTTTACTCGTAACTGGCAATGGCATGCAAACGCTGGACAAGCCGACCCGCAGTTGACCCGCAAGATCGACCGACTCCAGCGACTTCATTGGTGGAGTAAAGGCATGTTCGTGGCCCGGATGAATGCCTGCCAGGAACTATGCTTCCCTGCATGGATCTATGCGATCATTATGAGGTAAGACTGACTCGTCGAATCAGCGGGCCAGGGTCTACCGCGATCTTGCTGCGCGGTGGTCGGACCCAAGGAGAAGATTTCTAGATCGAGAGGTTAACATAATTCCCGCCTTACTCTCCGTGCTGCTCACAATATGAATATGCTGTTTCTTCAGGGAGAAAGCACCCGATACCGTCAGGAATAAGACAAGGTCGGAGGAGGAGGAGGAGGAGGCGGAGGAGGAGGAGGATAGAGGGAGGAGGACGCTCCGGGGAGGGCCGCGGGCGTCCTCGAACACTCTTTGCCACGCGGCGATGAAAATCCACGTGTTCAGGGCGGACTGCGAGTCCCCTGGGCGGTCGCCGCCCAGGGAAGAGGCGAGGCGGCTCGGATGACTCTCCTTCTCCTTCTCCTTCTCCTCCTTCTCCTCCTCCTCCTTCTCATCATCCTCATCCTCCTCCACGTTCTCATCCTCATCCTCATCCGCATCCTCGTCATCCTCATCCTCATCCTCATCATCAGCATCAGCAGCATCAGCATCGTCATCATCATCATCACCACCGCCATCGTTAGCATCATTACCATCATCACCAGCATCATCATCACCCATCATCACCCATCATCATAAGCATAAGCATAAGCACCATCATCATCAGCATCATCATGAGCACCAACCTCATCATCAGCATCATCATCATCAACAACATCTTCAACAACATCATCATCATGACCATCATCGTCATCCGCAACATCATCATCTATTGATCATCACGGAACGGCGATCACCGCGTCTGGGCGAGGAGGTGGTCGTCGACGAAGAGTCGTCGATCGATGATCGTCGCCGTCGTCGTCGTCGCTGCCGTCATTGTTTGTCGAACCATGGGGGCGCAACGCCTGCGGCGTTAGTTGGCCCGCGCGCGGCCGCGGACAGCCGAGCGCAGGCTATCAGGACGAGAGCCCGGCGCAGGAACTCGGGATGGGGCGTGTCGCCCAAACCGCTGCCGTCGTCGTCCTCCTCCTGACGCACCCAGCGCGCGCGGGGGGAGGGGTGGCGAGGCGGCCCGCTAACTGTCGCGCCCGATTCACAAAGGTTGAAGAGGCTTGGACGCCCTCGGAGTGGTTCTTGAAATTGCACGATCCTGGCCAGGCCACTGGGTTCCCATGGATCAGCGGACCCCCTGGGGATCCAGTGGAGTTCTACAGAGTCCGATGGAATACTCTGCAGTGCTATGGAATCATGTGGACCTTGCAATGGAGCCCGGTGGAGTTCAGAGGAATCAAATGGAGTCCATCCAATGAAGACTGGCGGAGTCCAGTGGAGTCTCATGGAGTCCGATGAAGCCAAACAGAGTCCCATCTGTATTCCAATGGAGTCCGATACGTCTTCCAATGGAGTCCCGCAGGCATCCCAATGGAGTCCAATGGAGCCCAACTGATTCCTATGGAAACTAGTGGAGCCCAATGGAGTCCTATCACAATAAAGTCCTATGGAGACCAAGGGGGTCCAATGGAGACCTGATGGTATCCGAATGAATTCCAACGGAGTCTCATGGCATTCCCATTGGAGTTCCTATGGAGTCCTATCTTCATTCCAATGGAGTCCAACAGAGTCCCATGGAGTCCACACGTTGGAGGGAGGAGGGAGGCGGAAATCGGGTGGAGGGAGGACCGAGGATGAGGAGGATGAGCAGGAGCAGACGCAAGAGCAGGAGGAGGGGAAGAAGGATTCAGAGAGACAATAAAAACTGGTCGACCTCTTCATCCTCCAGGCTCCCGGCTGCACCCGTCGCTGTCCTCAGATTATGAATGAACATCGCCATCATCACAATCTGAGAGCCCCAATCTCGGAGCATTCCTTTGACCAGCCATCGTAGGTACACTAGAGCATGGGTGACCAGGCGATCGTCGATCGGTGATCGTGATTGGTAGTCGTCGGCTTCCTCCTACCCTACCCATCCTCCTCCTCCTCCTTCTCCTCCTCCTCCTCCTCCTCCTCCTCCCATCGGTCCGGTAGCGCGTTCTTACCAGCATTCCGATAGGAATCCAGCCGTGGCGTCAACGACCCTCCAGGAAGCCCACGCCAGCCCCACAAGAACGCGCAAGACTCTCGATCTCGACGTCAGTCTTGGACCCCTCCTCCCTCCTCCCCGTCTCCTGGTCTCCTCCTCCTCATCCTCCTGCTCCTTCCTCTTCCTTTCCCCGCATCGTGCTCCTCCTCTCTGCCGCCGCCATCCATGCCCTCGTCCTCCTCCTCTCTGCCGCCGCCGAAGGCCGCAAAAGTCCAGGGCGGCCCCAGCCTCCGTACTCACACTTCATGTCGCTGTCTATGACCTCCGCGGTCATGCCGCCAATCTCCACAGC